AGCCACATTTTCACTGGTACTTTCTCTGATAGGTACTATATCAGTTTAGTGACACCTCGTGTGTATTGACGAAATTTACTGTAGAAAATTGTATTGAGTTCCATATTTTGTCTATACTAATATTATAAAGAGGAAAGATTTTTGTGTTTGATTGACGCAAAAACTAATGGGCCAATTTAAAAAATTCTTTTATCATTAAATTTATATGTGAGTAACATAGGCTATATTTTTTTTATTTCACACGGACGAAGTCGTCAGCAACAGCTAGTTATATAATAAAACTGAAACAGTGTTACGTTAGAAAATATAAATATTTTTTTTATTATTGGAAATTTATTTAAATACAACTAATTATATATTGAAAGATTTTGATGACCTATAAATAGATGGCGATAGTGAGATATTGTTAAAATATTCAAGTGAAATGTCAATTATGCCTACTCTATACGTTTTTTTAAATCTTTGCTTCTTGTGAACATAGTACAGTTTATTTTACTATGAATTGTATATGTGCAGATTTCATACTAGTCAAAGGTAGATCTAGCTTATTTACAACTAGCTGTTCCCATGCGACTTTATCCGCATAAAATAAAATAAAAAAACATTTTATTCTTTACATTAGTCTAATTATCTATAGCAAAAGTCAAAAGATATGATGTCGAACCATGCAAACCTTGCTTCCTTAATGTTGGCAACAACTTATTGTCTCTTTCCCCCATTAGGGTTTTTATCAAAATATTTACCCCTAAGTTTTATGGCGTGAAATATATAGCCGAAAAAGTGACGTAAGTGTAGGGCTTTTTATTAAAAAAAATAATTATTCAAAAACATGCTGTAATTGCTGACATCTTAGACAACAAAGAAGTGTGTGTTTACGCTTTATTTTAATAGTATAGAATAATTCTTTTTTAATAAAAAGCCCTACACTTACGTCACGCTTTAGGCTATATATTTTCACGCCAATAAACTTGGCAGGTAAATATTTTGGATAAAAAACATAATGTGGGAAAATAACCATAAATTGCTGTCAACATAAAGGAAGCAAGGTCGTCATCATGTCATGTCAATTTGACATTTGTAATTTGACAAATGTAAACAATAAAATAACATTTTTATAATTTCATGCGGATGAAGTCGCTCGGGAACAACTAGTTTATTAAATAAAAATGCTTTTTAAGTTAGCAACAGATCAAATGGTTGTATTTTCAGGAGGCGGAGTATCCAAATGTATTTTAAATAAATTATTATCTGTAAGTAATTTGATATAATTGGTGTTCATAGAATTTATTCCAAATTACGTAATGTGTAAATTTAAGCACGATTTATTATAAAAGGCTCGATTTATTATAAAAGGCATTGTTTTTGCTGGAATATTGTAAATAAACGTAACAAACAATATATTCGGGCTAATTTTGCTTTTTCAGGTTTTATGCGCTTTTTTCAGTTTTCCATGTTTCACAACCATTTCGTCTGTTGGGCTTTCTTTTAGTGCATGATTTTTACTTTTGACTTTCACACTTTTATATGTTTAAATTTTTATTATTGTGTTTCGCTTAAAATGAAAAAAATCAAGTTTCAAACTGAATATCAAGTCAATTTTAAATAATCTCTACTTATGAAATATTATTTTTTTACTTACATTTCAATACAAAAATTGTTCTAATTTCTTTTTCTAAAACAATATTCCTTACTATTACAAATGTTATTGACTAAAACCTAGTCATCACTTAGGGTTGTCACCAAGTTCTTCAGTAAGCCAATAAACATTGTCTGTGATGAAAACAATGTCTTTTGTATGTATATTTCTACAGAACTGTGTGTAATTAATATTTTTATATTTTCAGCATCCTCATTCTCAAGGCTTAGTGATTCATCATACACGCACCGGCAGCTCGCCCGCGCCGCTGCCCTCGCAACAACAACTCAATAACAAAGCAACCAGGTAATATGCAGGGTAACCCGCCCAGGGCGCCCAGGGCGACCAGGGCAACTAAGGCTGCTAGTGTGAAAGATAGGGAAGGGCGTCATATCTGCGAATTATAGTCTCATAACATACAAGGACTATCAATTATTCTTTCACGTGCTGGTCTAGCTTTCGACAGTGACTTTGTCTGCACGGATTTCAAAAATAATAATAATTAGTAGCCTATGTGTTCTCCCAGCGTATGTTCTACGTCTTTGTCAAATTTCATAGACTTCCGTTCCGTTCCGTAAACTCTAACAAACAATACATCTAAACGCATTTTTCGCATTTTTAATATTAGTAAAATGGCTTTATTTTAGAACGTTTCGTGTTTAAATTGATGAAACAGATACATATATATCCGTTTTTCATAGATTTTTTAAATCTTTGTAAAGTTAAAACTATTTAAATAAGTATTTGACATTTCTATTAAATTCGACAGATGTTTATGTATTGCTTTAGATGTGGAATAACAACACCACTGTACCTTAACAGCGTCTTTCCCCTACTATTATAAAAGTATTAAAATCTTCATGTAATAATGAATTATTAATAATATTCCAGAACCAACACATACCCAAAGCTGCCGGACAAGTTCCGCGTGCGCACTCCGGATACTTGCGACCCCTCCCCGCCCCCCGCGCCCGCCGCGCCGCACCCCCCGCACCCACCGCCGGAGGAGGAGGTGATCTACTTCTGACACGCGCGCACGCCCACGCCGCAAGCGCGCTCCTGAGACTGCCGACTCTCCTAGACTGCTGCGCGCCTGGTACTCGCACAGGAAGTACTGTCGCTTGTCTGCATTGATTTTTATTCTATGGCATATGTACTTAACCATTCCACGTTTATGCATTCCTGGTACTTTTAAAACCAATATGTTTGTCCTTTATTTTTAATTAGACTTTTTTATTAATTTCCTACATAATCTATATTATTAGACGTGAATTAATTATAATTAATATTTTTTTTTAATTTTAATATCTTTAAAATTAGTCATCATAACTCAGTTCCTCTAATGGCAGCAATTATACTACTTACTATATTTAATACTAGCTGTTGCTCCCGTCTTCGTACCTTTAAAATAAAAAAAAATAATGAAAGAACAGCCTATGGTACTCACGGATAAATTACCTTTCTAATGGTAAAAGAATTTTTAAATTCGGCCCAGTAGTTTTTGAGTTATTCCAATACATACAAAAATACGAAAACACAATCTTTCCTCTTTATAATATTAAGTATAGATGGAAGGTAGGATTTTTTTTATTAATTTTAAATTCTTACATTCGACTATACTTAAAGTTATACTTCTCATATGTATGATATCCTAGTAGAATGATGGAAAAGAGTAGGCATAGATAGAGAAAAGAGAAGACTTAATCGGAGTAAGAGAGTGAGAGAGAAAGAGAACCAACTTCCATTATAATATTTTAGAGTATTTTAATCTAATTAAAATTATATCTTCCATTAAAGTCATTCCATTAAAATGATCTCTTACTATGCGTAATGTTTTTAATGAATTTTGTTTTTTAAAAATTGAAATTCAAAAGTATTTTAACGGGATAATAAATCGATATTACGGTCTAATTATATTTGAATAGCAGAATTATTTAATTTATTTTTCTTTTACTTTTTATTTTGAAAATTAGTATTTTATTTTTAAAAAGCACGTCATTTGGAAAATAATTTTCATTAAAAAGCTTTGCTTCTAATCTGCCACCTAAATACTTTTGTCTGGATTTACGCTGCCATCCATACAAACATATACTGTTATCTCTTTCTTTTAAATGAGAATGAGAGGGATAACATTATTTTACAAGTTGTCAGTAAAAATCCACGGTAGGTTTTTTCTTAAACTCAGTTATATTTTACTTTGCACTGAAATATTTGAGAAATGATGGCGGTCTAGTAGAGTCATAGTCAAATTGTTAGATTTAATGTTATTTAACAATAATAGTGTTATTACATAGTTAGGATATAAAGGCAACTAAGAAATTCATTATTCATAGTAAATGCATTAAAATTATGAAATTAAAATGAAATATAAAGTTATATGTTCTTAAAAATATCTACAACGGTCTACGAATAAAATTGTTAAATTAGAATTTTGAATTGTAAATATTCTATTGTTGGCATGTTAAATGTTGAAAAATTAATATTTGATCAAGTTACGTAGTGAAAATAATCGAAATATATTTTCAAAGAAACTCTAAAACGAGCTTGATATCGTGAAATAATCAATTTTAAATGTTACATGACAGGACGAAATCAAGTCGTTTTCTCTTATAATTTTTCATTTTAATATAAGTTGTAATTTAAACGGTTTGTACAAATTATTTTATAATGTTTTAATTAAAAAAATATATTAAGATATATCACAATTATAAAGTTACATGCTAACACAAAATATGATAAATATTTTTGGATTTAACATACAAATAAAATATAGTAAACCAATATTCACAATGTGACAGCGTTAAATTGTTATTGAAAAATATCCCTTATCGCATACAAATACAATTCAAATTAGCTTAAAATTGTCACAAATTTATAATTGTGGTGCTATTTAAATTTGTATTGTATGTCTCATAAATATAAGGTTCATTTTTCAATAGCATCGCAACACTACGATTGCCTAAACTACAAAATAAAAATTATTCTGGTTAATATTTTTAGAAATCAATATTTTCTTTAACATATTCAAACACAATACATCTTGTATGCACGCTTCAACAAAGATATACAATATTTGTCTATATTTCCGATATATTTATATGTTTATTGAATATCTTCCATATAAATTAATGTTGAAAATGAATTTGGACTATAGTTGTTGATGTAAATATTTAGAAATGTAATTAAAAAGGTCGTAACACTAAAGAAGTAGGAAAAGGGAAGATATTTAAAATAACGTAAACGATATTGGACTTTATGTCAAAGGTATAAGAGTGAAAATTCTTTATCTATCAGTTGTGTGTTGCGACCTTTAAATATATTTAATTATAGAAATAATGCTACAGAAACAATTTGATGTTTATTGAAGAATGGCAATTAAATGTAAAGAGGCTAATGTTGAAATGATGCTATGTTAATTTGAGCAGTATGTTTTTTATTACTTTTTTAATTAAAACCTTGCAGGTGAATTGAAAACCTCCACTTTTAGGCAGAACTTTTAGGAAGAATTAATATTTTTTTTAAATTAGACTGCTACCAAAACATTTTATATGTATAAATTATTGGAAGAATTGAGATTTTTTGTTTTAAAATTAATTTTAAAATAACAAACTGCTCAAATTTTTAACATAGTTTGGAAAGTGTGATAATATGCATATAATTGCTAATCTTACGCATTTACTTCACTCTTGTGTGAGGGTATTTAGAAAATTCAAGACTAAAATATTACCTTGATTAATGTTACTTAGAACATGTATCAAATATGTTAAAACTCTCAGAATATCTATACATAACTGTATTTAAGAATATTGTACTGGAAATCTATTTTTGTCTGTCTGTTCGTATGTCAAAATTTTTTCTAACTGCCCACACATGAGAGTACTAGATAGCTGTTGTTATATGAACTTTTAAGACTATTTGACTATTTTTCGTGCATTTACTGTAATCCCTTTTTAAATGTTATAGTACTTAGAAATGGTGATATTTTAAAACTGATGTCTTGTTCAAGATGTGTAATTGTGTAAATAAAAAGAAGAAATTGTTGTTTGAATTAATATTAATTAGGTCTCTGGGTTTTCATTGACGGAACATTTTAAAATATGTCTCACTTTCTTCAAATAGTAAGTATGTTATGAATGTTACGTCAATGAGAACCAACGGTTAGTGTAATCTTTACTTATTTATGTACAAACTGTTTTTACATTATACGTATGGATGTCGCCAGACTTTTCCCTTTAAAAATGATTGTTAAATACTTACCCCCTTACCTAGCCAAGGTCATCTGACGACGCCCAAACATTTACTTTATAACTGTATAAAAACATTTTTATATAAATGAGTAAAGAATACACAAGAAATAAAATTAGGTCTTAAATATAGCAATTTAACTTGCAATAAATATTTCTATATACATGTATAGTCAGAGAATTAAATTAGATACCCACTTAGTATCAAATGTACCGAAAGTGGTATTTCAATCTAATTATGCGTTGAATGGTATTTTATTGAAATGGGTATGAAATAAATGTCCTTGACTGTACATTTATATGCATAAAATTTAAATGTGGCAATCTTTATATTAGATAGTGTTAAATTATTCAAGTCTGCAGCATAGAGATATCATATTTAGAGTGCTTTCATGTTGACGTACAAGAAAATTAAATAAATATTTTTAGAAATTACAATATCCTAAAATTTATGCTACTATTTTTCTATCCACAGTAAATTATGGTTGTTGATATGTTTATTGTACGAAATGCTAATAACTCTCCGAAGCATTAACTCGTAACGTAGACGTCTGTTCTGATCGACGGTTCGCATAGTAATGACTCCGTCGCAGTGCTACCAACATTGCTACACTACTTTTAACATTAAAAATTCTTTACAGGAGTTAAAACTTTTACATTAATAACAGTCTCTATTGAAAAATCTATTCTAAAAACTCTTTGTATAATATCTCTATAGACTTTCGTCTAATTGTTACGACTGCATTATTGCATGACAATAAATTATATAAAATTATATTTTTCTGATTCAATCGCGGCATTTCCTGGATGCCTGTTTCGCAATAATACTTATATATATTTAGCACATTATTATTAAATTATAACGCATATTTTCCTTGTCTTTACAGCCAGATGCATTTAAAAATATCGTTCCTTTTGCCTTATCGCATTTTTACAGTTTAATCCAATTTGGTATTAGCTGTTAATGTTGCATTTCGCCAATAGAGGTTTTTTATTGCAAGAAAAAAAAATACTATTTGTTGGCAATATAATGAAATATTTATAAAAAGAAAGAGTTCATACTGTTTACTTCTAGAAATATATATTTACAGATTTTTAATAGATTAAAAAGATTTAAAAATCGTCTTTTTATGTAGTATGGTGTTGCCAACTCTAATAAAATATTCTCTTCCTTGTTACAAAATATACAAAAACGTATTAAATAAGTAAATAAAAATAAAGGATTAAAAAGTAGCCAATCTCCCCTATAAATTAGGGCACTACTATTAAAGGCAAATTCCAATTTATAGAAAAAAATAACGCTTGGTCATTTGCCAACATCAAGTTAATATTCATGTTGTTTAATAAATATTGAAATAGATTAAACAATTTTTGTGTCTTGCATTTCATGACTAGACTAAGTGAATGCATCTACTAGAATATGTTATGATTTTTCTCTAATTATGTCGATTTTTTAAATACCAATTTTTTTTAAATTAAATCATGGCCAGATTTACTTATTAATTACAAAATAATGCATTTATGAGTGAGTTGAAGTGGCAATATTTTATTATCTGTAAGCTTTAAATTGATGTTTATATTTTTTAAATTGTAGTCAATTTTTTAACTGTGGCAACGACAATACTGTTATGTATTGCTCAAGTGTGCTCATTTATTTATATGTTTTTCTTCATTGATATTATTTTTTATATTGTATGTGTATAGAATTATTTCAATTTGTGTATTGTGTTCTAGCTATACTTACGTTTTATCAATTGATCTGTGACATTGGCGGGTTCCGTCAGCATTGTATTAGAATAGATGAATAAACGTTTACTTAGAATCATCATGTGTTTTAATAATCTACACACTAAATGACAATCAGTATTAATGTGACAAAAAAAATTGAAAAGCAGTTCATCGCGCCAGAGGAAACATTGATTTTTTAATGATTTTATGGCATGGTTTGACAGTACTTGGCAGGTCTGACCATAGACACGACACTAATTGCTATTTTTAGATTTAAATAAATTGGTTGTTTCTCATCATGGTTAAATAGACGCTTTTTGAAATAAATTTGTATGAAATTGGTCATAACAGAGGTTTCTCGTATTACTTTTTTGTAAAAACCCTGACAAGGGATGTAGGAGAAATAAATAAAAGAAGAATGTAACTTTACAGTGTTTAATACACATTGAAGTGAACTATTTAAATTCGTGAAAATTCTTTTAGATAAGCAGTCTTATAATGAAGCATTATACTTAACAAAGTTTTGTTAAAAACCTTAACTAACCCTCATACTATCAAGGCACATCCTACTATTACTCACAAATCCATCAATAAAGCCAGTGAATACCTACCAATTTTTATGTGCAACTTTTAAATACAAAAATATGACACACATAAAAACAAATACATGAAAAAAATATAAATATTCTCTATTGAATTAAAATAAGAATTTGATATCACAACAAAAACTAATTAATGTCAAATTATTTATGAATTTTCTTGTTCTAATACTGGCAACATTTTTATTAAAAAAATGCAATCAGAGACAAACTGGTCTACACATTTTCTCTTTTCAAATTAACTTATTACATACATAAGAGCATTTCTATAACATTGGTTTATAATTAAATATAATTTATATTTTAATAGAGACACAACAACAAAATACTGTTCAAATAATCATAACACATGTAATAGATTTCAAACCTTTTAACTACTGTAGCTGTCTATTCCTTTAACATGGATGTTTTACAAATAGATGTGGCATTTAATCAACACAACAAAAATAAAAATTAAAAGGTCTTATAAACAATACCAGTGTTGTGTTAGGACGACCGATTAGGGCGCCGTAGAAATCACGCCTAGGGCGCTGAGAATTAAAAAACCGGCCCTACTCATAAAAAATGTAACTGTTTTAATTAAAAATACAGAGTATTCAAGTCATTGTTATTAATTTTAATCTAAATAACAATGACATTTTACAAAGAACTGGTTTAACGAATATTAAAATATTTTCAATTAGTGTATTACAACTTAACAGTATCTTAAGAATAACATCAAGAAATTAACAACCATTCAATAACAAAAAACATCATTAAATTATAACATTACATATAAATATGGCAGTATATAATCTGTGATCCCAAATATTTTTTACTATTTAAATTTTCAATTACACTCTATAGTGAAATTTAAACTTTGATGGCTTCCAATCGCAGAAAACATATTTATAAATCCAATTTAATGAAAATAAGAAATTATATCAACTATTTCACTAGTTGAAAATGTCATTTATTGTATATGGGTTTAAAAGGTTTCATTATTTAAATTTATACAAACATGTCTTGTTATAACTCTAACAGCCTAAAGGTACATTTTTGACCGACTTCCCAAAAGAAGGAGGTACTCAATTCGTCGATAAGTTTTTTTTTTTGTTATATATTCTTATTTCCATTGAATTTGATTACAAAGAGATGCAAGCGCAGCCTTGCTTAAACATTTATCTGTATATGAAGCCCTAATTAGATGTCATAAAATTTTAATTCTGAAAACCTATTATTCATATTACAGGCTCGAAATGATCACAACACTATTGTGCAATTTTTCATTGCACCCTAATTTTTATTTTACTATGTTAATGAATTTAATATAAATGATGCAGTCTGCTTACAACCTAGGTTCATTAAATGGACTAAACCCAATACAAAGTCTAGAAACACTCTTAAGCTGCTTCTAGCTTTTAAGCAATATTTTATATACCAAATAATGTTAAGAGTATTCTACAACATCTCCCTGACATTTTCACTTGAACTTCTCTCCCATATTTGTCCAGATTTATACAGTCTATAAATTTTATTGCTTAGTAATTCATGAGAAAATTGTGTTATTGCACCTTCAAGTTGATGTGGAAAGACTTGTAACTGTGTCTCATTGTATCCACTCTGGCTATACTTCTTAATATCCCTACATACTGTATATTTCTGTACACCGAGCATATTCAAGGGAATTACCATCTTTGGTACTAAAGTAATGTTAAATATGTCATCAAATGTTGAAAGAGCATCAAGATTTATTATATTTATCATCGGAGTATTCTCAGGAAATTTATAATAATGCCTTTTATTTAAGATATCCGGATATCCAATTATAGCATTATCATCGTCAGGCTGGTTGAGACAGAATAAAAGTGTTAATGCTTTAATTTGTAATGATCTCATAGGATCAAAATCACTGAGAACGCTTTTAATATTATTGTGAACACGAGGTACTAAAAATTCATCCCAAGATAGTGGTATCACATGACTAACTTTGTCAGTTTCTTCTTTGTCATATCGAAAATGTCTGAAGAGGCAATCTAACTCGACAGCGACACGTACAATACTGTATGACTTGGAAAATATAAATGGATAGTTTAAAGGGAAAAATTGTATGTTCCACTGTGTTATATCAGATGGTAACAAATTCAACCTTCGTATAACATCCTCCGATATCATGCTGTCATATAATGTAAAGTAATTGACACCCATCATTTGATGAAACACAAGAAATTCAATAAATGAATCTCTCGAAATTATCGGTACTTGATTTGGGAGCACACATATAGCTGGTACAATATTATTGACAAATTTAATATTGCTCATTTTTCTAGGCTTGCGTTTTGTATTCACTTGGATAAGTCTGTTAATTGGAGCATGGATGGGATTTATATTGTAATCATTTACATAGAAACTTATGCCCTTTGGTTTACCAAAGTCTTTGTTCATTGTACACTGGAATATGTACAAAGTAAAATTTCTATGTTCAACAAATACTTTGTATGTAAAGCGTCCAGCTTTTGGTTTTGAATCATTCTCTAACCAAACATTGCAGCGGAAAGCAGGATTAACATTGGTCTTCCCAATTACTATAGTATCTATACTGTGAGCATAAGTAGGAGTCAATGTTTGGTACTTTTGATACGACCGTAAGAATGATGAGTAGGAGTAAAAGTTTTCATCTATCTGTTGAAATAACGGCGGAGTTTCTCTAACCTCCATGGAAGAATTTCGTAGTATCTCAGACAGCATTGTGGCATTAAATCCTGGACCACAGAATTCTATCTCCGATAAGCCAGGCTTGCCGAAAAAGTTAAGCACCTCCAGAACATACCGGAGACGGTAGTACTCGTGACGGTAAATCAATAGCGTTACAATACTTATAAAGCTGATCAAAACCAAAATCAATTGATAATACTTGCGCATTATGTTCGTTGATGATTTTCTTGGAGTCTTCATTTATATCTTATCGTAGCCGGCACGACACTGACGAACTAAAATGTGTAAAAGCAATGCAAACATCTGAGGTATATTATTGTTACATGTAGAACTTCAAACTGAGTACAGTTAGTTATGAGAACAGAGGACAATACTCGGACGATAAATATAACTGCAGTTCTTATTTCATTCTCAAAAAGTCATAAGGTATCAAGTCAAGACATCTGATAAATGCATGGAAGGATAAATGATAAATCTGACATTACAAATTACAATACAGTGACATCTGATTCTGACATTGAAGTTTGATAAATCACGATCGACGAGTATAGAATATATTATGGAAATAAATACCGTACTTAATAGACGGATTTGATACTTACAAATATTACCACATAACGAACAACTACGAACTGTCGATATTTGGGTGGAACATAAAAAAAATATTAAATTACTTTATTATTATTTATTTTAGGCGCTGTTTTAGAAGTGAATGTAGTGATAGCACTGATAACAATATTTTATATAATCTGTATCTATGACAAGAGGCCGCAAAGCCGACGACTGTCAAAGTCAAAAAAACTAAGCAAGTCATTGGCAATATCCAGTTTTCTAGTGGTAAAAGATTTTGTTTCACCTGGTGTTTATTAAATCTGTATAATGTCTGTTAATAAGGAAGATACATTGCGGCAGTTTTGTGATGTTACTGGTGCTGACGACGCCAGAAGTAGATTCTTTTTGGAATCATCTAATTGGCAACTCGAGGTGAATGTGCCGATATTGTTTCATGTTTCATTGTATTTATTTTCAATTTGTAATTATTTCATAAACATTTTAACTGGTATATTATTCACTATTAGTTATAGTAATGGAAGACATTTATATTGTTAACATTATCTTGGCTTTGTCTCATTTACATGGAGTCGACGCACAAGGTTTTATAAACCTTAATGTTTACGTTCTTTTTACGACCACTTGCCTATCGCCAACCCTATTATACGATATTGTGGACTTTAGTGATAAATATAACTTTTTATCTTACATATGTAATTATTTTAAAGTAAAACATAAATATAAACAAACAACTAGTCAAATTGTAATTCTGATAACTTAACTTACATCTTACAAACAATAACATTAAAAATGTAATTTAAATGAAATCCTAAACATTACAATAATATACTAGTAATAATAAAAAATAGTCCAAAAACTTTTTGAGTATTTTTTCAACAAAAATTATTACTCTTTATAATATTAGTATATTAAAGCAACTTGTTCCCTTATTTTACTAAATAATATTCAATTGTGATGTAAAATTCTTGTATAATATTTAAGGTGGCACTGTCCAGTTTCTATGAACATGGAGGGAATGTAGAAGAGGCTCCTGCTAACCCTGCACCTGCAGCCGGACTACCAATGCTTTCAGAGAGTGATATGGAATCTCCGCCCGCATCGCCTGTGCTGCCTGCAAAGAAAGACAAGAAGCCACAACCAACATCTAAGTTTGCAACATTACAATCTCTGCAACAGGATAGTTCCAGTGATGAAGAAGAAGGTAATTTTTATACTGAACAAGCATTTATAATAGGTTTTCTCTTTTAGCGGCATGAAATAAAAAAAAAGTATTCAACAAAACAACTTTTTAATGGCATAAGAATTTTTGAAATTGAGGAAGTAGTTCATGAGTTATTTCAATACATACAAAAATACAAATGTTTTCTCTTTATAATATTAGAATAGATAACATCTGTGTATGGTTGGTAGCATCATCATCATATTCCTCCTTATCCTACTCCTAAAGGTTTTTGTCCTCCACATAACTATCATATGTCATCCCAGTCATCACTGCCTTGATCATGTCACCTTTCACGTAATACATCCATCTCTTTCTCGGTCTACCTCTACCGGTATACCCTTCAACACCCATAACTAACATCCTCCTTGTTACATGCGATTCATCCCTCCTCTTAACATGTCCATACTATTTTTTATAATATAAGGCGGCAAATAAGCAAGCGGCCACCTGAATCCATCGAAACGGAAATCGACCGCTGGCCCATACCATGCATACCTTTTACTTGTTACCTTCGCAGCCATATAAAAGCATACAGACATATATGTTTTTGAAACTGATAGCTTGTAAAGTTTTTTATAGCTTGGTAAATGTATAATTATTTATGTAGCTGACTGTACATCCAGGTCATAGATGTTATAGGAAATATGGTTGTAATACTTGGATTAGAAAAAAAATTAAACCACATTATAATGCATTGTTTCATAAGTTTTTCGCATTAGAACAGCAGTAACTTTTTTTACATATTTAAATGATATTTCAATTTTAAAACAGATATTATAATTAACGGCATATGTTCGACATATAAATGCATAAAAGCAACAGCCTCAAATAAAAATGATATAAACCATTATGAACTCTTATATGAATCACGAGTTCAGGGAAATTGCTCTGATTGTAAGAAAGAGATAGAAGAACTAAAGAAAAAGATAGAGGCATTAAAATTAGAGAATACAGAATTAAAAAACGAAATACAGAATATGAAGGGAAGCATTGTTGATACAAATGATGAAGGTTATTATAATGAACATGACCTTTTATTAACTTACTTGCTTTCGCTCGCGACTCCGTCCGTGTCGAATTAAAAAAACAAAAGTGAGTTGCCTATGTGTTCTCCCAGATTATCCTCTACATCTACACCAAATTTAATGGAAATCCATTCAGTGGTTTAGGCTACAAACTCTTAAAAACATCCATCCATCTAAACTTTCGCATTTATAATAATAGTAAGATAAGGTTGGGGAAATATTTAAGTACTGAACCAATATCTTGTAATTTCTTTCCCCATCCTAATATACACCAAATATGATAACAATAGGAAGAAATGTAAATTTGTTTCAGGTGAAGCTTTTTATGCAGGAGGCTCAGAGCGCTCCGGTCAACAGATCTTGGGGCCCGGGAAGAACCGGAAGGATATTGTCGCAGAGATGTTCAGAAGTGTCAGAGAGTGAGTAAATACGTCGAGTCTGCATGGAATATAAAAAAAAACTTTTTTATATGATAAGGTAGCATGGCAAGGGAGTGGTCACATGAATTCCTTGAGAAAGCGAAGCGACTGCTGCCCATAGACATCCGCAATTGCAAATTTGTCGCTTACCCTTTTATGTGGACCCTCTACAGTCAAATTCACTTTCCTTTTCCATCATTTCCTTATATGAAAAGGATAGGTAAGAAATGGACTAAGTTAGGTCCTAATTAGTAACCAATGTGTAACTATCAATCTTCATAAAACTGGAATATTTAAAGTTTAGGTGTTTGCAGACAAGGCGCGGTTGTTTTCGGCAACGAGCCGACTTCGTCCAGCAGAGGGCGCGGTGTGTTCTCCGGGGTCGGGTACAGACTTGGTGAGTATCGCTTACCACTCAGAATTGTTAAATCATCATTAAGGGACCATAGTGTTAATAAAAATTGAATTAGGTAAACCGCATCCAAATCCATTAAGCCCTTTTTAAGATTTGCGAACACAAACACTCATACGTCGCGACAAAATTCTAACAATTATTTTAAATTCTAGGTGTGTATAGTGTAATATATTTACTTATTTATATTTACTAGGTTTTGCTCGCGACTTTATCCATATCCATTTTGTTATTTGGTGATAATGTAGTTTTCTATTAGTGTGAAAGAATATTTTGTAATCTGTCCAGTAGTTTTTGAGTTTATGTTTTAAGTACAAAAACACAAATCTTTCTTCGCTATATTAGTATAGACATACATACCTAATTTACATTTTCGTTGTATATAGATAAATTAAATTTTTTATTGTGAATATTTCCAGGACAAACTGCGGACGATCACGAGCAAATAGCGCCGCCTAATAAAGACCAAGAGGTAACTACATTATTTTGGTTATTGCGAATTAATTTGTCTTTTCTTACAAATTATATTTAATTCTAACATAAACATATAAACCCCCCCCCCCTATAGAAATCTACAGACCCTATAACTGTCATCAATTTAAAATGATCTCAATAAAAACTGTTTGATTGTTTATTTTTATTGTTAAGTGTAAAATGTGGTTGTTGACTACATTACAAAATAGTTTTTCATTCAGTGAATTTTGTAAATTTTTAAGATAATAAAAACAAATATGTTAAACCACGTTGCAGGAACAAAGTCGTTCAGTTCGCTTGCGGCTGTACCGCGAGGGGTTCACAGTGAACGACGGGCCCAT